TGTCACAGCAATAATGTTACCAAAAAAAAAATTTCATTCGTTTGTAGTCTCATTAATGACATTAAAGAGTACTGTGTTGCCTGATGTAACAAGAATAAATTTTTTAAAAATTGGACTTTTATACTTTTACTGCTGTTCCAGTGATGGTGGTGTGTGTGTATGTGTGTGTGTGTGTGTGTGTGTGTGTGTTTGTGTGTGTTTGTGTGTGTGGGGGGGGTGGTCATTTAGATCCTTAATTGATAATTCTGAAGCAAAGTAACAACCATTTATTTGAAATCTACTGGGTAATGAACACCATACTGAATGCCCTTGTTCATATTATTTTACTTAAACATCAGGGCAACTCTTTGAGAGTTTATTGCAATCCTTATATAATTGGGAAAGCTGAAGCTTAGAGAATTTGAATAATTTTATCACACTTGTAATAATAGCAGATGTGGGACCACGAAATTGTATTGATTCTTTCTGCTGTGCTATAATCATTTCAGTGCGAACATTTCATCTCAGTTCTTTCTGAGGTGTCGGTTTTCTGTATCTGTTTCATTAAGATGACGTATTAATTATTAGTTACAGCAAGCCTTAGTTGAGGAGAATCAACAAATAAATAAATGTAGAAGCTAATGTCTTAAAAATAAATGAATTCTAAAGAAAGGCAGCAGCCTGCAAGCCCTGAAATGCTGTCATACCCACCTTCATCAGGTGACCTGGGTGCTTGTTGCTGGTCATCTGGGAGAACTTGTCAAATGATTCTCCTCATCGTTAAAAAAACAGGAAATATGACTGGGGCATTTCTTTCTCCTTTCACACTATGTATTGTACTTGTAATACCATTGTTAGTTTCTCTTTCATTCCAACCATCCATCATTATTCAGCATTTTCTCTGGTGTCTGGCAGCTGGTTTCTCCCAACTGAGGTTAGACTGTAAATATAACGAGCGCTGGAGAGAGATGTGCTCTTCTCAGGACTGAGCAACATGCTCCTTCATATTCATGACAGCAGCTCTCAGGTTACTTGATGATATATAGAAAGGTATGTGAGAAGGGGTGAGTTTTGTTTCTCAACCATAACACTGAAAACACTAGAGAATATCTAGATATCTACACTCACAGGCTTTGCATTATTTAGCCATTGCCTTTACTTTTGGTTATGATAGTTTTATTTTCATTGGGCTGGTACTATTTATTGGTAATTTAGTATCTCATCCAGTTTGTACTGCTATAACAGAATATCTCAGTCTGCATAGTCCATAATGAATACAAAGTTTTTCACTTATGATTCTGGAAATTGGAGAGCCCAACTTCCAGGGGTAAGGAGTAACATCATCCCATGGTAGGAGGCAAAGAGAGAGAAAGAGTGAGGAAGAAGTGGTTCAAATTCTGCCTTTTATAACCAACTCACACCTGTGATACTGGCCTTAATTCATTCAGGAGGCCCCTCATAGCACAGGCCCTTACCTTCCAATACCCTTTAACTTAAGTTTCCAACACACATTTTGTAGGGGACGTATTTGTACCATAGCATTTTGTAAGGTTGATTTGGACGTCTGATTGGCAAAGAAGAAATCATATCAAACAGAATGTGGTTGACACATGATTAAAGTTAAAGTGAAGAAGTTCCTGTGGTAGAATTTTGGTTAGCAAGGAGGATCTTGGTTTTTTCTTCATATTTCTGTCCAAATTTTACTTTTTATTTAGGTCTAGCCCACTATATTGGTCAGTAGTCATCTTTTTGTAGCTGGTAGAGGTTTACAACTAATGAAACTATTATTTTCTAATGTCTATTTTTATAGCAAAATCTTTCTATACATATTTCTAGTGATTCTTGTGTGTAATTTTGGTTTATATGATGCATTTTGTTATCTTTATTCCTTATATTATTATCATCAACAAATACTGAGCATATGGGTTGGGAAGAGTCGCCTACACTTGTTAGGTTTTTGAAAATTTACAGAGGCCTTTTGCATGTTCTTTCTTATCTAATTCTGATAACATTTTACCCACATAAGTCTCTGTTCTTTCATTCATCCTGCAAATGTCTGCTTATATAACCACTTTCCAGTAACTTATATTCCAGGCAGGAAAAGTGAGGTGAAAGTTAAAAATCACATAGCAATTTTAAGGTTCATATAAGTTGTTTTAGATAAAGTTGCTTCTGAAAGAATTGTGGGCTTTGAGAGAAGGCATTTAACTTTTTGGGGAGACATGGGGTCTAAAGGATGGGTACACAGTGAGAAGGCACTGCAGATGGGAGCCCTGTCAGGCCATGGCATACATGTGGGTGTGCAAACCATGTTTTCAGTATGCATGAAGAGACTAGCTTGACTGGAGTGAGCTTGATGAAGTCTGAATTCAATTACTGAATATTTAAAATTTAAGACTTTAGAATACTTTGAAACCATTGAAATTCATTTATTCCAACTCATATGTGTTCCATAAAGATATGTTAACATTGAGTAGAACAAGACATTGCTTTTTTTATTTATCCCATAAGAAATTATTTATGCTGTTCTTGGTTTTCAAAATATAACCTGGTTTCTTCACTACACATACACTTGATTTTTCAATTCTGATTAGATTTTATGTTGACAAATGAGATATATTTGATCTCAGTTTCTTTTTTCTGTTTGTAACCATACTTCGTGACATTTGAGATGATTTTTATTAAATGTTAATACTGTTTGAGCTGGGGGATTTTTAGGCAGTCGGGGTGCTGTGAATTGAGTGAACCAGGGACTTTCTCTTGCTAAGCAAGTGTTCTATCGTGAGTTTCATACCCAGCCCCTGCTACTCTTTTCATTTTGCTTTTAACTTAAATATTTAGCAGGACATTAATATATCTGATTCAGATATAGTATTACAGGATGGATTTTTTTCAAATGAGGAAATGCATGTTATGATTTTGGATTAAGAGCTGTAAATGCCATCATATATATACATATATAATATTTTAAATATAAAATATATTTAAAATAGGAGATTTTGTATCTGTCTATATTTTTTTTGAGACAGAGACTTGTTATGTAACACAGGCTGGCCTTGAACTCCCAGCAGTCTTCTTGCCTTAGCCTACTGAGTGCAAGGTTTTCAGGGGCATGCCACTATACCCTCTATTCTTAAGAAAATGTATGCACTGATTAGTTGATAAAAACAACTAATGCTAATGGTATTAATCTAGATTCTGATTTTTCTGGCAAGTTTCTATGATCCAGAGTATGTGTCTCATTGTCATGACAGATAAGAAGTCAGTGAGATTTGTTGGTAATTGGTCTGCTATCATCAGAAAAAAAAATGCTTATTTCAGAAGAAATAAATGAATTTTGTAGGTGTAGATTTCTAGGGTTTTTAAGAAATCCCCCTAAGTAGTATCCATGTTTCTTGCCAGAGTTCTTAAACTAAAAGAAATAACATAAAATAGAAGAAAAGTGAAATACTATTTTTCTACTGATAATATAATACCTAGGTTAAAGAACATAACCTAGTTTGAGAATCAAATGGCCTTTCTAACTGAACATTAAAATCAGAAACATTTATTTACCCATTTATAAAAGGTGCTGGAATACTTCATTCCTTTTCTTTAAAAGCAATGTGTTTATATCTAAACAGCTCCTCTTTTTCATTTTTATTATTTTTTGTGATACTGGGGATTAAACCCAGGGCCTCAAGCATTCTAGGCAAGCACTCTACAACTGAGCTGCAGTGCCAGCCCTGCAGCTCAATTTATATCAGACAGCATTCGCTGTCTCCAGGCATTCTTCTTTCCTAAATGGAATAAGGGGCTTGCTAAGCCGTGTGTGCCCACCTTTTTCATCTCAGTTTCCACCAATCAAAGGAAGTACTTCACTTTCCTGGAGTAGATACCATTAATTGAATTTCATTTTAATGAAAAAAAAATGTGATTTAGGTGGTAGTGGAAGCATTTCTCCCTAATCCCAAAGATGCATACATCTTTCCACATTCTAACCTTGGAAATCAGGATGTATCTTGCAGCACCTAAGTAGCCGTCTACCTCTAATAGTCATAATGAATGCCGTAGACTCAATATGCGTGAGCTTGGTGCTTACTTCTTGCATTATAACCCTCAAATGTTTCACTACCTTAAGCAGTTAATACCCATTTGAAGGAGAGATGTGAGGCCTGGCTGGTATAGGACAACCTTCTATTTAAATCTAACATCATCAAAGAAGTACCAGCTTTATACTTTGCAGAATGGGTATCAGCAACTTGGAATAAATTGCTGAATGCAACATGGAACACTTCTTTAAGATACCCACATTTATGGTGACATACATTGACAGTTTAGAAAACAAGAATATTGACAACTCTGAATTAGTCATTCAGAAGAGCTAGATGATTATAGAGTTTTAAGTGTGACATGATAAGTTTATATTTCACATTCCTTACTGAATGTATATAAGAGATGTATGGTAAACCTCTGTTTATTGAGAAAGCTTAAAAAGTTTCCCAGGCTGAAAAAATAAAATTTTTTTAAAAGTATCATACAGTTTAGTTGAGAGGTTTTTTTTATTTTCCTAGGGGTACATAAAATAATACTGCATCTTTCAGTCAGTGGGGTCTTAAATTTGATGAAATACGATCATTTAGGTTTGTGAGTCTCTTCAGGCTTTACAACCTGGAACAACTTTGAGTGACACTTCTTTCTCTTTAAAGTTTCATGTTATGTACTGTCTGAGCCAGAGACTAGTGAGTAGAGATTAAAATTTTAATCTTTGTTGAGTTATAAACTTGTGCTATTGGTTTTAGAATGTCATTTATTCTTACTAGGCTTCTTTTCATTTTCTCACTCCCAAGTGAACATTGTAATCCATAGTTTAATCAAGTGAGAAAAGACTGGATCAAGCGATTCAAAGTAATTTTTAGATATTGAAGATAATTTGTTTTCAGAGCTCAACCTTATGACAGTACAACAGTTGTGTAGATAGACGTGGTTTATTTATTTGTAAAAACAGTTCCAGTAAGCTAAATTACTCTTTTTTCTACAAGGGGGTCCTGATGACAACTTAATTGAAGGTGGAGGAACAAAATTTGTCTGCAAACCTGGAGCCAGAAACATTACTGTCATATTTCACCCATTACTAAGGTAAGTCAGACTTCTTGATGTACTTACTGAAGATCAATATTTTCATTATTTATGCAGATGTACCAATGCTGCTGCCAGTACTTCAGTTAGCATTGAAACAAGTCATAGAAAAAAAATCTAGAAACACTTTGTTCTTTTTTAGGGCCTCACAAAGTTGGTCAGTAGAACAGATAATGTCAACCTCACAAATAGCTACTTGTTCTCAGGAGTAATAGTTCTTAAATACTTTTTGATTTCTTTCTTTCCTTACCCAAGTCGTGGTGTTCTCTCTGCTTCTTCCCTTCCTTCCTTCCTTCCACTCTCTTTGATCTGTTTTAGGGCAAACTATGGTCCACTGGAGAATTCTAGCCTGCCACTCATCAAGCCTTTTTATACTTTATGGAAAAAGAACAACCCAAAATTTCAAAAGAAAATAATGACAGTAACCATAGTTACTGTCATTATCTTCAGTGTAGTTACTCAGATTAGAAGTCATAGACAAAAAAATTGTCTTACAAAGAAAAAACAGATTATAACCCCAAACTTTCCTTTCAGTGAACTAAGAAAAACTAGTAGCATAAATGAAACAAATTAGGGGCTGGGGATTTAGCTCAGCGGCAAAAGCACCTGCCTGGCAAGCGCAAGGTCGTGAGTTCTGTTCCCGGTACCAGAAGAAAACCCAAAAAAACAAAATGAAACAAATTAGAATATATATTAAAATGTTTTTGATACAATTGAAAAATTACTTTGGGGATTATTTGAACATTTTTGTACTTATTTGTTTATCATATATATACACACATACACACAATTTTGAAAGGAACTTTTCAGATTCAGATATATAATATTAATTATGTCTGTTCTTTATAAAGATCTACATTGTTCAGCTTTTCTATTGCTGGTGCACAGTACCTGATGACACCCACAATTTAAAGGGACATTATTTGGCTCACAGTTTCAGAGGATTCAGTCCACGGTCAGCCAATTCCAAGTCAGGAACATCATGGCAGAATGGTAGGGTAGATCAAAGCAGAGCACAGCGGGAGAGTGCTAACAAGAGATATGCCTTTCAAAGGCACACCCCCACTCCCCATTACCTACATCTACCTGGGTCTCATCTCCTAGGAACACATTCAGATAGGCACCCTCATGATCCAGTTACCTCTCCAGGAGTCTCTTAATCTAGTGAAGTTGACAATTAAGTTTAATCATTAAAAGAACCATTATACATTTGCTGTATTTTCATTTAATGGAACAAAAACTGTGAGTTCACTATGTTTGATTGTATCTCAGAGTAATACCTCAGCTTCGTAAAATAACTTCTATAAAATCTGAGGCATTTGGAATAGCAGTGAAACAAAAGGTACTGAATTAGCCAGAGATAATACTATGTGTACTTTTCCAAAACACTTAGCAGTTTAACTGGAATTTTTCCACCTTCCCATTAAACAAGACTTAGCAAATTGCTGCCATTATGACAGGCTAAATTCAAATCTTTTACTTGGATAGACATTGTTTGCATTTCTTTAGTTGCTTTTGAAGGTAAGAATACAAATATATAGATTAAAATAAAAAATACTTTCATAATAATAAAGTAATGAAGAAGTGTTTTTAACCTTTACAAAATCTGTTTGACAGATATTTGCAGTAAGGAAATTGATGAGAGAATCATGGTATTAAGAAATTTAAGACTGCTTTTTAAGACTGCTCTTCTTGGTTTAGTTGTTACTAACTATATATATATGTATATTATAGTAGATTAATTATAACATTGAATTTCAGCATTAAGTGATACTGTTCATATATATCAGTTGACTTTGCTAATTAGTTTACTGTTCACTCTCTCTGTAATTGCAGTTGAGTTCCACTTAGCAGCATGAATGGCCAGGAAAACTGGAAAAATACCTTCATCATTGTAGTCATCTTTTAACCTAGATATTATGACATAATTTACTTCTATTTTATACTATGGATCAGTGATAGTGAATCTTTTAGAGCTTTCAGTGGTACAAACAGCCCACTGTGGACTCGTGCTGTAGGTTTGCCACCACTACTATAGATGGAATCCTTCTGCTTGCGTTTGTTTCAAGTATAGAAGAAACCCAATGTGGGCTATTTAGTAGTATTGTCAAGTACTTTTCAAGAGACTTTTTTGTATAAAAGGTTTTCTTAATAATGTGAAGTAGAAAAATGGATTTTAGTACTTCGCACTTAGGTTACATTTCATATACAAGACTGGTAATTTAATGTATTGTAGTTCTTGACTTTTTAAAAGCATAATATGTATGCTGGTTTGCTAAAGGGTTGTTTCAAACTTTGTTAATACTCCCACTCATTTTATTTATTTGGTCTCTCATTCAGAATTTTAATTTATTATTGATAAGAATTAGAGGAGAAGCTTTTCTTTAACATGATATAAACAACTTATCATTCATTCTTTCTCTATGTTTCAGTGTAAGTAACAAGAATATTATGTGGTATGCAAAGTAAGTTAAGTTAATTCTGTGATAAGTAAGTGACCATTTTAAACTGAATTAGCCCTTTGACACCAGTTGCACCTTTGGATCTCAAACTCATTAAACAGTGTCAGCTGAAAGCTCATAATGTGCTGTAGAACTTCAAATTATTAAGGTTTTATGGATTTTTAAAAAAAATTTTATTTTTTATACTTGAGCATTTTTGTGAGTTTTTGATTTATTATTCCCTAAGTTTAGGAGTTGAATCCTTGAAATGAAATCAATTTATATTATCATAATAGTATATGTTATTGTTTCTATTATCATTTAAAATTTATCATTTTCCTATAGTAATTCAGTTACTCATATTCCACATATGTTTATAAAATATTTATGATGTGTACTTTCCCTTCTCTAAGTTAGTTATGTACTGTGGTTTAGAAACAATTCCTCTTATTTTTGCAAGATTAATAACATAAAATTGTGTAGATATGTCTTCTATCCTTTGGAATACTCACCGCTTTTATCCCATGCTAATCCCAAAGATGGTTCAAACACTGTGATTTAGTACTGTTATTTAAAAGACAGACTGGTATAGTGTGAAAGGTAATGTAGGAAAATGGAAGTATAGAAAGAAGACATAGAAAATTTGAAATTTAAAATAAAAACAACAGGCCATTTTGGTTACAGTGTTGGCTCTTTCACTTGAGTTTCACACATCGGTTATTTGTAGGACTGTGATTACAAGTAAAGGTCCTAAGAAAACTAAAGAAGATTATATTCTTATATACATGTGCACACTTGGCAGCTGCATAGGTGGTAAAATCGGGTGTGTGAAAACACCGGATGTTGGAAAGTATGTGAATCATCAGGATCTCTTAGACTTTGTGGGAGAGTACAATTCAGTATATCCTCTCCTGAAATCAGTTTTTTGTTTGTGTGAAATTACATATCCGGTTACCTATTAGTAACCTTCCTCCTAACACTGCTCTTGAATATGTTTCTACTTGGATCAAGTGACTCATATTATTTTCCCATGTTAATTTGGCAACCTTTTTCTAATTGATTATAATAATTTTTCTTTATTTATAACTTCAGCATAATAAAAAATAAGCCCAGAAAGAACTTATCACAAATTGACTATCACAATAGCTGTTTAAACATTTTCCTTTGTTGCTTTTCCTCTGTGTATACTATCGCTGGCACTCTGACTTACTGAAACTTTGTGTAGACTTTCTACACTTCATTTATTAAAACAAGCTTTTTGCATAATTTTTGTTCAGCTGGCAGTGCATTGTTTTCAGCTTACAGGTTTTTCTGTATTGAAAACTGAACCACTCTGCTGAGAACACTACAGAACAGATTCTGGTTACACAGTTTTATATATTCCCAAGAGTCTGTACTGTCCTTTTATAAAATTATTCTACAAGGTCCTCAGTTCTGGTGATCATGTACTACCCTCGTAACCCCTGCAGTCTCACTAGGCAATTTCATAGGATGTTGGAGGCAAATGAACTGATTTCCAATTTGTTCATTCTCCATTAACTCTGCTGGCCGTTTTACTTGTTCAGTGTTTCTCCTTACTGTTTTTTTTCTGGCCAGTCTCCTTGCTTAGAAAGATGGAGTATAGCGTTAGCTGGTTTGCTTTACCCTTACTCCACCAAGACACTGAATGCAATTAAACCCTTAATGAGTACTTGTGAAGATAAGAGGTCATCTAATCAGTTCCTTTTTTGCCTGTGGAGCTAACTGAACAAAACAGGTTGAAACAAGTAAGTTACTAGCCATGCCCAGGTAAATTCTAAAATACTTTGCCCAAAATAAAGACCTAGTATCCTAACATACTTCACCCAAAGTAAGTCTAATGCCCCTTTTGCCACCAACATGTGTGCTGTTTTTTAATTTTCTATGGAAACCCTCAAAAAAATGGGTAGATTTGTTCTGATAAGTGGAATTCATTTAATGAGTCTTCACTTTAGGGAATGGAAGAAGATATGTTAATATTGAAATTTGAATGGCATATTGTCATTCTTTTCTGTACATCTAACATACATTTAAGTATCTTTCAAAAAAAAGTACTACTTTCAGATAATTATATTACAGTAATTATTAGCCAGAATCTGAATATAAATAAAACTTTGACAGTGAAATACATTTTACTGAAGTATCAACCACAGCTTAATGCAGAGTGTTACTTCTTATTACAACTAATATGTAATGTTATTTCGGGAAATATAAAGTTACTTTGTGGCTGCCCTTTGTGGGAATTGTGAGGCAGGAAATGAGAATTTATTTTCTCTTTGTTTTTCCAATAACTTCTCCTTATTCTTTATTATCTTAAATCCTAAAACCATACTGTGTCGTCAGTTTGTTAGTATAGTTCTTCATATAGTAAGACATAAGTGAGAATGAAAGTTATTTCTTTAAAAATCTAAATGATAGGAGCATGTGAAATATTTAGTAACATTCTGACACACACCCCCCTCGGGCCAATAAGGTACATTTGAGGAGGTGTTGCTGAGTGAAAACAAAACCAAGTCCTTTACTCTTTTGTACCTACTACCT